AAATCCTGGAAGAAAACTTTCCAAACCTAGAGAGGCATTCAAATATCCAGATCCAAGAAATACAAAGGACCCCACCTAGAATCAACTCAGGAAGATCTTCTCTAAGGCACATCACAGCCAGATTGACCAAAACCACAAAGACAAGATTCTAAAATTCACAAAAGAGAAATGTCAAGTTACTTGCAAAGGATATCCTAACAGGCTAACAGTGAACCTCTCATCAGAAACAATGTGAGCAAAGAAAGAATGGGAAAATATATTCAAAGTGTTGAGTGAAAAACAATTCGAACCAAGAATTCTATACTGAGAAAGATTATCCTTCATATGAACTTGCAAGAAGTTCTGAAGGGAGTGCTATACTAGGAAAACTAAAGACAGACACACAGAAATAAGAGTCCAAAAAAACAAACAAGAAAATGGCCAACTTAATGGAAGGGATGAGTCCAGAATTGATTATTAACTTCCAAAATTTAAACAGAAAGATCAGATCACAACAGAAGAGAGGATTAATTACATGAGACTGAACTGGTAAAATAGAATTTACAACTTTTGACTAAAACATGATTGATTCTCTCCTATGCTTTGTTTTCCAGATTTAAGGGCTTTTTTTGTCTTCTCTTGAGCTGTTGATAGGCTCATCTACCTACTATTTGAAAAGAATCCTAACCTTTTCCCTGGCTTTAAGTCTTCAGCAATTTTCTCTTAACATTTTTAAATTTTGATTTATTAAACCTAAAACTGTTTTTCTTTAAATTAAAAAAAACCTTATTTAATGACCACAGTAAGCTACATAGCCTCAGCTAGATGCTACTTTATAGTATGTTCATTCTGCTAAGTTTTATGCCTAAAGTCAGGCATGTGTTCACAGATATGTATATATTAACTGACCTTGCTATTAAAAGTATTTTTTGTACATCAATAAAATGTGGGGGGAAAAAAAAGAGGCATAGAAAGCAACTGTAGATACCAGACAGTGTGGGAGGAGGGTGGGAAATGGCAGTGTGAGACGTAGGGAATCAAGGTGTGGGGTGGGGGGGATGCAAAATATATAAGAAACAAGAAAGGAAAAATTGTTTTTTGATGATCCATATATATAATGTATAGTAATATTATTGATTAAGCCAATATACAGTATATTCTGGATGCAACATCTCATTTTGTATGCTATGATGACATACAGGGGATGAATATAAAATAAATAAATTTTTAAAAAATTGTTTTTTTAGCTTAAAATCATATCCTTCTGTACTTCAGAGCAAAATACAGGGCTTTGAAAAGTAGGTAGAAAATGAATAGGTAGAGTGGAAGGGGAATTTCAACCTGGGAGCATGTACTGGTTGTTGCTACCCTCAATTTATACGGCGCTTTATATTCACGTAAATGCTCTTAGCTGCTATCCTTAAGAAATGTTTTAGCTTTTTATTTTTGAACAATTATAGGCTCACAGGAAGTTGCAAATATATTGCATAGAGTCCCATGTATCCTTTACCAACTTCACTTCAGTGGTGACATCTTCTGTAACTATAACATGACATGAAAACCAGGAAAATGCTATTGGTACAATACTATTAACTAGACTACAGACCTTATACTGTTTTCACATGCTAATTTGTGTCTCTATATACTTCTAAATTGTTTTATTCCATGTATAGTTTCATGTAACCATTACCGTAATCACACATTGTGGGACCAGTAGATGGCATAATAGTTATGTTGCTGGACTCCCACATAGTTGACCATGGTTCAAGTCCTGGACTTAGTGGTTAATGGGATTGTAATGTGACCATCCTCTTGGGGAGTGATTTCTCACTTTCTGTCTCTCTGGCGAGTACATGTGCCCTATAGTAAAAATCTCTCTACAAAAAAAAAAGATACACAATTGTTCCATGAGGCAAGGGACTTCCTCATGCTTCCCATTTACAGTCCTTGACCCATGCAACCACTACTCTATCTTCTACCACTATTGTTTTGTCATTTCAAGAATGTCATATAGGGAATTAGCAGGTGGCATTGTGGTTAAGATGCTGGATACTCCCACATGGCTGACCACAGTTCAAGACCCGGACCTAGCAGCTTGCTTTCTCACTTTTCCTCTCTCTTCTCCCTCCCTCTCTCTCTCTTTCTCTCTCTACCTCTGTGTGTGTGTGTGTGCGCGTGTGCATGCATTTCTCTGGTCAAATTAAAATAAATAAATGTGGGCCAGCAGGTGGTGTGGTGCTTGGGTGTACTGGACACTCCCACATGGCCAACCACAGTTCAATTCCCAGATCTGGTGGCTTCCTTTTTCACTTTCTCTCTCTGTCTCTCCTTGGTCAAATTAAAATAAATAAATAAAATGAATAAAGTTAAATAAAGTAATTCTTAAAAATATTAATGAATAAAAAACTAAGTAAAACAATTCTTTAAAAAAAAGAATGTCATATAAATAAATATTTAGATATTAACTTTTGTACTAAGTATAATGACTTTGAGATTCATCCAGGTTTTACATGTATTCATTCATTTTCATTGTCAAGTAGTCCATTTTATAGAAAAACTAGAGGTTTATTGTTTTTTTAAACTTTTACCCACTGAAAAACATTTCAGCTGTTTCTAGCTTTTTGCAGTTACAGAAAAGCAGCTACATATATTGATGTACAAGTTTTTCTCCAGACATAAGGTTTTATTTGTCTGGGATAAGTGCCCAAGAGTGTGCTTGCTGGATTGGATGCATTTTAGTTTTGTGAAAAAATGTCCAAACCATTTTCCTGAGTGGGTGTACCATTTTGTATTCCCACCAGTGAATACAGAGTATAAAAGTCAGAGAGAAAATACAGCAGAAAGTATGACAACATAAAAGGATAAAAAGCAGGGGAGAAAAACAATGAAAATTGTAAGATTAATCCAGGAGAGCCAACATTTGATTAAGGGCTTCCAGGAAAAAAAAGCACTAAGAGAACAGCAGTGAAGCACATATCAAAAAACAAAACAAGAAATTCCTCAGGCATAAAAGGCATGAATCTTTAGACTGTAGAACCCATCGAGTGTCCAAATTAAAAAAAAAAAAAGAGCACACCAAGGCTTTTCACATTGAAGTGTCAGAGAAACAGAATACTTCTTAGAGTAAAAAAGCTGGTCATATGTAAAGGACTGTGAATTAGAATGACACTGGGTTCTCAAAAACAAGACTATGCACTACAAGGCAATGGAGAATTTCCTCATATTCTGAAAAAAATTATTTCCAACTTAATGTGTTTCAAACTTTCAGACAGCCATGTCACAATCCCTTCTCCATTCTCCTCGGGGGATCTTGGGCATGCACACACACACGCCCGGCATGAGTCTAAGCCATCAGGTCCGGGACTTGAATCGTAGTCGACTACATGAGAGTCCAACAACATAGCCATTATGCCAACTGCTGGTCCCCCAGCATGAGTTTTAAGCTGCTAGGCCTGGGACTTGAACCATGGTAGGCCGTGTGAGAGCCCAGCTCCTTAACTACTATGCAAACTGCTGACCCGTCCTTTCTCCACCCTTTCAGGATTTTGGGCATGTATACACATGCACCAAAGCAACTGGGCCAGTACTCAAACACGGGTCAGTCAAGTGGGATCAGCTCCCTTAACCACAGGCGATGGGGCCAGTCCCGGAAAGATTAAGTTGGATCACAAGAAAGGAGACTGGAGGTCGAGAGCACACGCAGACAATTACCTATTCTTTTGAGGGGAGCTCTAAGACAACTCATCTTACCCAAGAGACTTTTTTCCTTTTTTAAAGATTTATGTACTTTTTATTTCCATTTGTTATTATTATTTTTAAATTTTTGACCAGACAGAGACAGAGAGAAAGGGAAAGCTTGAGAAAGCATGCCACCAGGCCCAGAACGCGAACCATGGTTGGCCATGTGGGAATCCAGTGCCTTTAACCACCACTCCACTTGGCAGCCCCACCCAAGAGACTTTTAAAAAAAGACAGGTCTCAATATATGGGATTATAGGCTCACCCTTCCACACCCAGCCTTTAGGTTGAACCAGGAATTGAACCTAGTCTCTCATTGTCTCAGCCTATATGGCACAGCATTTTAGCAGAGAGTACCACCTCAGAACAGTCCTGACCTTTTATCTGCATAGGAAGACAACCTTTACTCACCCTTCATTTTCTCCCCCAACCCTCCCAAAACTTGCATCACTACCAACCCCCTAGAGAAGACCTAAGACCTATTCATTTTTGTATTTCAGGGAGCTATGTAAGTTTTAATCATTTGAACCTCCTTCAAGTCTCATATTTTGTGGGATTCACATGTATAGGTAGGTAGTAATTATAATAGCTTTGTCTCCTGTTACTCTGCTTTATGTCAACTTAATTTGTAGCCCAGCCAAAGAGTCTAGAGGGGTAGATTTTCACTGTCATTTTTCACTCTCCTATATAAAAACTAGAGCAGAGGGGCCGGCAGTTGGCATAACGGTTACATCACTGGACTCCTATGTAGGCAAACAAAGTTCAAGTACCAGACTGGGCAGCTTAAAACTCACACCAGGCATGTGTGCCCAAAGTCCCGAGAGAAGAATGGAGGAGAAGGGACTGAGGCCATCCCCTCCTGGGGGGAGGTGATTTCTCGCTTTCTATCTCTCTGTCTCTCACTGTGAGGACATGCACCCTATAGCAAAAATCTCTCTCTCAAAAAAACAAGACAAAACAAAACAAACCTACAGCAGGAAAAGGAATGTACCATCTCTATACTCCAAAAACATGCCAATAAAAGGATATATACCTATCATAATCAATTTCATATTTATGTATATGGATATGATAGAATAGAGAATTCAGAATTTATGGGTAATATCCTTTTTTTTTTACAGTTTTTTTTCATTTAATTTTATTCATTGTCATTATTTTATTTTTTGAAGATGACCAGAGAGAGACAGAGAGAGAGAGAAGGAAAGTGAGAAAGCAGCCTCCTGGTCTGGGACTTGATCCACGGTCAGCCACATGGGAGCCCAGGCACCTTAATGATCACACCACCTGGTGGCCCCTATGGCTAATGTCTTAAATCTAACAATGATTGTTTAATAGAAGATGTTCAAAAAACTAGATGCGTACATGAAAATAAAAACAAAAAAAAACCTGGATGGCCCCTGCCAGCAGGTGGCATGGTGGTTAAGGCACAGAATACCACACAGCCACGTATCATCTCCATTCCCTGCCCCTACCTGCTGGGGCTCCTGTCTTAATTGCAGTCGCAGAAAAATTATTTGTGGTTCCCCAAGGGCCTAAACTGGCTTCTATGTTCCTTTCTTCTTCAACGTACACGACAGTGCCAGTGCTCTTTTGCTTGGTTACTCGTGCCTGAAGCTGTTTGAAAGCCTCGTGAAATGCCATTTCCATTCGAATATCATTGTTTTGAATTTCATAGTACAAACCTGAGGAAAGAAAGATGTTGAGATAAATATGATTCATTTTGCATCCTGACAGACTGAAGAGTTGGAACATTGTACTAGTTTTTCTTATTTTTGCCATTTTAGGGATACCTTTGAAGATAGTAAATTCTCTAAGATTCAAAAATCTGAATCTCGACAGTGGTAGTTTCAAATCACCAATATATGAGTGAAAAAACATTCAGAAGTAATGAATCTTTCCTGATATTCCGGAAATAATGCACTTACTCATTTATTTAACAAATATTTTCTAAGTGCCAACTATGTGCCAGGTCAAAATGGCCCACTGAAGAGTAGAAAAAGAGAGACTCTTCTGATGGAAAACAAAATAATACAAAATACTTTCAGGTCACAGAAAAATACTATACCAAGTAAAGTCCAGGCGACAACATGGGTTGGTTCCAAGCAAGTGGCATCCTCAAAGAAAATTTCTGCTTGCTCATAGTTCTCCATCAGGACAGCCAGGACGCCGCACAGCAACAAGCTAGGAAGAGACCACCAACATGGTAACAGCACGGTCCCAGGTCACATTCGTTGATGGCGAAGCTTATCTGTTCCTACTCATCATTCATCTCCCTTCCAACTATACCTCTGGATGTGACTCTGGTTGAGGGCAAGGGCTTTCCGAAAACACTCTTGTGCTTTGATGTTGTCTTCAATTAGGAGGCAGAAGGCACCGTAGTCCAGCCAGTGATCCAGATTCTGGGGCTCACGGACTAACCTCTAGGTATACAAAGCATCAGGAGGACCAAGGTTACTGCAACACTATGTTCTATTTTTTATGCATATGATATCACACAGTAAGCACTCCAGAAATAGTGGAAGTCCGATGAAAGCAGAGATCATGATTTCGTTTTTCCTTACCTCTGGATCCCGAATGGCTAACATGATTACTGTTCTGACTTTTAGTAGGTAGTCAAAAACTTTTGTTGATGTTAAATTTTTTAAGAATTATTTTAACTTTATTTCTTTATTTTAACTTGATCAGAGAGGGACAGAGTGAGAGAGAAAGAGAGAGACAGGGAAAGTGAGAAAGAAACCACCAGGTCTGGGACGCAAACCACGGTTGGCTGTGTGGGAGTCCAGCACCCTTAACCACCATGCCAACTGTCGGCCCAATTGTTGGTATTAATTTAAAAACTGAATCCTCAGGGCTAGCATGTGGCACGGTGATTAAGGTGCTGGATTCCTACATGGCCAGTTATGGCTTGAATCCAGACTTGGCAGCTCGAAAATCACTCCAGGCATATGTGCATGCATGCCTAAAATCCCCAGCGGAGAACAGAAGAGAAAGGACTGTGGCATGGCCATCCACCCCTGGGGGTGGGGGTGGGGGGTGGCTGATTTCTCACTTTCTCTCTCTCAGTCTCTCTTCAGCAAGCACATGCACCCTAAGCAAAAACCTTTTAAAAAAAAATTAAATACTCAAGCCATTTCTTCCAAGTTACCAGTGTTCTGGTTACTCAACCAATACCTGAGATGCTTACAGATTCATTTCATGTTGTATCAATCACATATTGTGTTTGATCAATATCAGTCCAATATAATAATTTCTGCCATAATCTTGAGATGGCAAATATAAGTTGATCAACAAATGTGGAGGGAAAAGTAAATGCTTCAAGATTACTGAAAACTACAGAATTGCTTAAAGAAATGAAAGAGGACAATAATAAATGAAAAAACAACCTCTCCCAGCCACAGTGACAGGGAACAGAGCATTAC